TGATATTTGTGGGAGTTAATTAGAGGAGGCGATCATTAAAGGCCCCCCGCTCTGTAAATGTTGTCTTCTGGCACTCTTCCTTCGAACCTAACAGACACAGAGTCACACAGAACCCATTCAGAAAATGATCCTACCACTTATAATGAGGGAAAAAGTCATGTCAAATTCGTATCATTAAAAATGTCTTATGTGCAGTGTTTGACAGCTTGTTTAACCACTGCTATGTGAACATAAGTGGCATGGTGGTAGTTTTGTAGAAAGTTGACATTGAATTTTATTATGTGGGAAACTTACATGATCATTTGATCACTAAAAAAAATGATAATTTGGTAAATGGGCATTTTAAAATTGTCATTTAAAACCTACAAAAAGCTTCTCTCTGCACAGAAAAATAATAATAATTAGGGCTTTGCGTGAAACATGACAATAAAGGCATTTTTAAAAATTCCATTCCCCTCCTTTGAAACCCAACAAAAACCCACAAAGAGAATGAGAAGGAGGGAACACTCTGTCTTCAGTGAACAATGAAATGGCCACAATCCCAAACTGTAAATTATGAAACACACCTGCCAAAATCCATAAAATCTGGACTGAAATGAGAGGCAAGGTTGAGCGCTGACAAGTATTTCCTCCCGCACCAAGTGGGTTGTTGATTGCCCTGGGAGTGAGTGTGGTAGTCCTGAAAGGCCTGTTCAATAGTTCTTTGATCACAGAGACTTTAGGCTGAGGACCATGAGCTTCCCATGAAACAACAGACACCATCTGAGCAGGGCTGCAGGGTGAGGTAGGGCTGAAGCAGGAGCCATATTTTTTATTCCTCCTTGCTGAGATGAACTGGTGTGCAGGAAGGGGAGGCAGCAATTGCTGAACTATTACAGTCAGCCTGCTAGTTAAAGCCTCTTTGTTTAGTCGTACCTTCCATTCAAATGCGAAAATCCAAAGAGAATTGTGGGTAAAGGATATGAAAGGCTTGGTGATGGAGTACTGAAGACAACAGACTGATGTACACTGCTCTCTTCACTGCCCAGGTTGGTATTAGTCACAGAGTTGCATTTAGGGCAGTAGAGATGCAACAGCAGGTCGGAACACCAACATGACACTCACGAGTTCCAGGCAGATTTATTTATGTTGATGGGTATTGATCAGGATCATTCCCTGAATATCAGGCCCTGATCTGTGGTGGCCCAGGGCTTATATGAAACAAGCCAGCAGGAAGAACAGAGGCAGAATGGCTTGTCAGTTGGGGACTGATTTTTACAATGTGCATCACAGTGACCAGCTATGCATCACAGTGACCAGCTGTTTCTAAGTGACAGAAGCAACTGGAACTGGAGCAGGAACTGTTACCAGGGAAACTAAGAAACTGAAATATATTGGCTGGGGGTGGGGGAAACTTTCTATTACAGAGAACCTGTGCATGAGGAAATCAAAGTAAGGGAGGAAGTTAGAGCAGGAGGAGGATCCTAAAGCAGGAGTCATGCAAATAACATAACAAAGGTATTCCTCTGAGAAGAATTCCAACAAATAGATCCCATGTTTTTCCAAGAAGTCATAATCATAATGTCTAGGGGCATGGGGCTTAAAAGCAGGTGAGTTAAGCATAGGGTTGCACACCTGTAATCCCAGAACACTGGGAGGCTGAGGCAGGAGAATCACAAGCTGGAGCCCGGTCTGGAAACGTGAGCAACTTAGTGAAACTGCCTCCAAAATAAAAAAATATTGGCTGGCAATATAACACAGTGCAAAAGTTCTCAGTTCAATGCCCAGTACCATGGGGAAAAAATTAAGAGAGACAGAGATTATAAAACAATAGAAGGATATGAAAAGCAATGAGAACAGTCAGGGGAAAAAGCAAGATGTAAAATTGGCAGACAGAATTTACAAGCAACAACAACCATAGAAAGAAAACCACTGAAAATGGAGGTCTAGTACACAGGCTAGAATAAGTCATCCAGAATGATATGGAAAAGAGCAAAGATATAAAACCAGTTGCTGGAGTCAGTGATGGGTATGAGGACAGACAAAGGAGATCAAGTGTAAGCTTAACTGATATCCATTGCAAAGAACACAACAAACAGAACAGAAAAATATTCAGAGATAAAATAAAAGAAATTGGTGTCTTCCAGTAAAGTCTTTTATTAGCAAGTCATCCAGGCACACCCCGGGCCGAGAAACACCCAGGACCAAGAAAATCCAACCCAATAAGACAGCCTGCATAAAGTATGTAAGAGTTTGCAAAATCTAAGACAGCATGGCCCGAGATTGTTCTCACTGCTGTATTGCTCTTTGCATAGAAAGGGAACAGAGGGGCATAGGGACCCTGCTCTGATGCACTTCTAGGGTTAAGAGGGCACGTAAAAGTATTCAAAATAGAGAATCCAGGAATACATGGACCTGGTTAAAGAAAAAAAAGATGGAAGTGATAAATTCACCTAAGACTAGAATGGAGATTGATCAATGAGAAATTATAGCTCGGAACAGAAGGTAAAGAGCAGAAATTTTTTTTTTTTTTGGTCTTTTTGAGGTAAGGTCTCACTATGCAGTTCAGGCTGGCCTTGGGCTCACTTTGTAGCCCAGGTTGGTCTCAAACCCTTGACAATCCTCCTGCCTCAGCCTCCCGAGTGCTGGGATTACAGGTGTGTGCCACCAGGCCCGGCAAGTGCAAAACTCTTGACATCACCTGATAGTGTAATGAAAACTAACTGGGGATTTGTACACAAGAACTGGACCATGCATTATGTGTGCTTTCTTCATCTTTCACAGCAGAAGGTCCCTAGATATTCTTAAGTCAAAATACGTCACTAAACATCACTCTCCAAATCTCTTGTTGGTTTCTTTAGACTTACTTAATTTTAGAGTTCTTTTGGGAATTAAGTATAGTTAAAAAAAAAAGACATTCAGCAACTTCTTCCATTTTACTTTAATTTTTCCTTAATATACTTAATAAAATTGCACTAAAGTTTTAAAGTAAAATTACATGACACAGAGTGCTTATCAAGTATTTATGTTATTTTATAGGTAGTAGTTTGGGTGGTTCTCAGATACCTCTTTCTATATTAGTCAGCTTCACATTGCTACTTTGAAGTAGCCCAGGAAATTAATAGATGAAGAGAACAATGTACTTAGCTCACAGGTTTTGGGGGTTCAGAAGCATGGTGGCTGCGTCAGCTCAGTTCTGGGGAGACTGGATGACACTAGCAGGAGATGGGCAGGAATGGTGGCATCTGAGTCCAGGAAGCTGGGAGAAGGCTGGGTGGGGCCTCACAGTCCCTTTAAGGCCACACCCCAATGACCTAAAGACCTACATCTAAGCCCCACCTCTTAAAGGTACATAGCACCTTCCGGGAGACCAAGTCTTTACATATGGACCTTCTGGAGGTGCTCAGATTACACCCAGCCCATAGTTCTTTCCTTTCTATACATTTTTTATGTTATTAATTTTATTTTTAACTGACATAAAAATATGAAAATTGTACATAACAGAGGGACACACCATATGATGTCTTGGTACATGTATACAAATGGTGACCAAAATGTATGACTAATGTTTAAATTTTTAAAAATTCATTGTAGTAAAAGACACATTGGCTTTAATCTCCCTCAAAATGCTCCCCTTACCTCAAGCACACATATGCCATTGTTCTTGCCACTTTCTGAAGAAATTTTGGAAGTCCCTTTTCTCACATGTCTTTTGAGGTATTCCCTGCAAATTAGTTATAATATATTTTTGTTGTTTTCTTCATATAAGAGCATGCCATCTGCAAACAGTGAGAACTTGGAATTCTTCTTTTCCAATTTGGATTTTTTTTTTTAAGACAGAGTCTCACTATGTAGTTCAGGCTGGCCTTGAGCTCACTATATAGCCCATGCTGGCCTCAAACTCACAGTGATCCTTCTGTCTCAGCCTCCCAAGTGCTGTGATTACAGGTGTGCCCCATCACACCTGGCTACCAATTTGGATTATTTCTTTCTCATGTTTACTTGCCCTGGATGGGACTTTCAGTACTATGTTAAATAGTACTAGTTTCAGATCTTAGAGAAAAAACTTAGCCCTATTCAGTGTGATGTGGGCTGTTGCCTTATTATATAAGGCCTTTATTATGTTGTGGTATGTTCTCTCTATACCTAATTTCTTTAGCATTTTTATCATGATGGGATGTTGAATTTTATCTAATGCCTTTTCTGCATCTATTGAGTGAGCATATAATTTCTGCCCTTTGTTGTGTTGATGTGGTGTATTGTGTTTATTGGTTTGCATATGTTGAATCATCCTTCCACCTCTGGGATGAATCTTACTTGATCATGGTGAATAATTTTGTTAAGACACTGTTGGATTTGACTTGCTAGTACTTTGTTGAGGATTTTTGCATCTGTGTTCACCAAAGATACTGGCCTGTCATTTTCTTTTTCTTAATGTATTCTTGAACGGTGATGGCATCAGTGTAATGCTGGACTCCTAGAACATGTTTGGAAGAATTATTTCCTCTTCAGTTTTTTGGAATAATTTTAGAATAGTCAGTATTAGTTCTTTCTCAAATGTTTGGTAGAGCACAGCAATGAAGCTCAGATCCTGGGCATTCTGTTGACTCTTCCTACATTTCCATGGCTTATATTCTCGGTAATGAGTGTGTATCTATTTTTTTGAAAAATCAAAACTATTTTACTATACATAAATAAATAGCTAAAAATAAGTCAGATCTGTCAATTACAATGTCTAAAACAAATCTCATAGCCATAAGTTACTGTAAACTTGTTACTAATAGCAGGAATAAAGAAGGCAATGAAGAAAAGGAATAAGAAAGGGAAGGAAGGGGAGGGAAAAGGATGCAAGGAAATTGACAGGAGAAAGGGAATCTCTGTACCATGGAAGACATTGAAGGTGGGGAAGCGGTTTGCTCAGGCACCACCCTGCGTGGGCCCTGCGCTCTCCCATTGCAGGCCTCACGTCTGCTGGCGATGTCCTACGGACTCTGTCTGACCTTACCCACCTCTCTCTGCAGTGCTCAGTCAGCTGTGGTGTAGGGCTCCAGAGAAGGAAGCAGGTGTGTCAGCGGCTGACGGCCAAAGGCCGGCGCATCACTCTCAGCGAGGCGATGTGCAGGGGCCTCCCAGCGCTGCCTCTCGTCAGACCCTGCCAAGCACCTTTGTGTGGTAAGTACCCAACGCCCATGTCTGCCCAGAGGCGCCCCTTCCATGAGTTCCAGCCAGCAAGCTTCATTTTCTGTACATCAGCTAATTTCTCATTTGCAAGCAAAGCAAATCGGCCAGAGCTCTGACTTTTGCACAACAGGTGATAGAACGTGCAAGACTGAGGCACAGCTCTCCAAGAAGGCAGTTTTGGGAAATATCTGCCCACTTTACAGATGCATCTTCAAGGCTTTCTTGCCTGGATTTATATTCTCTGCTTCACCACAGCTTCTCCCACTGAGAATTCATGATTGTGTCTTGTCTATATTAAGCTGAAATTCTGGCTTACTCTCTGATAAGGTATTTTTATTTGACGGACTAGAAACAGAAGAGCTTTTTTTAGTATTAAAGTATTTTTATTCAGGATAATTGAAAACCAACAAGAATGAAAAGATGAAAAACCTTTGGTTTAAAACGGCAGTTTAGATACTTCTTCAATTAATTGTAAATAGTAAGCTGACTAGAGTTAATATCACGGCTTCACTCTATTCAAAGCTAATGGCATGTAACATTCACCTGTGTCCTCATTGTCCATGAGACAATACATATCTACACATGCGTGTGCATGTTTTGTGTGAAAGGATCACAAAAGATGAATTAAGGGCTGTTGTACCAGCAATTGGGAATCAGGCAGCAGAGAGGTAATGGGGAGGTGGGACAGGGACACGGAATGAGAGCTTCAAGGTGCTCTTCCGCTTTGCGTTTACACTTTTCCTTCATTTGTAAAACAACATTCAGTATCATCTGTAAAAGAGTATTCAGTACCTCAGGTACCCCCCTGAACTTGCTTATGGTAAGAACCAAATTAGAAATAAACAGTTCTTATTTTAATACTGCTTTTAAGTGTGTGCATGCGTGTGTGTGCACATCCTCGGGTTACTGCTAATTCCTTGGTTACTTGACAGTTTTCCTGGAAGAACTTGCAAACAAAATAATAAAAACATTAAGGTAAACTAAAATGCAATCACATTTATCGAGCACTAACTATGGGGAGTTCCTCAATGCATTTTCTCAGATAGCCTGTCCCCTTCTACCCCCGCTGCAGTTCTACGAGTCAGACATCCCCATTTAGAGACAAGGAATCCAAGCCTCAGGCCTGAGGATTGCCAACTGGCCTCCTTGGCTTGTTTGACCGCAAGCTTGTCTGATTCATGCACCCACGCTCTTAGCTGCCTCTCTTTGCTGATTCATGGATGGCATTAACATTTTTTCCCGGGAGTCCTTTGAAAACAAATTTTCAAAATTTTGAGATTCCAGAAACTTGAGAGTCCAAGTTTTGAAGTCTCCTGGAATTCAAGAATGTCTGTGGCAAATGGCGCACAGCCATGTTTTGTTTGATCTGCTTATCTATCGGATTTTTATTAATCATGGATGATTGCATAGCATTGCGAATAGACTGCCAACCACCTGAGAGGAGAGTGAAATTGAAGTCATACTGGCAGCTTCCTCTGAAATCACCACAGAATAACATGTGGGAATGCAGCATGGCTCTGAGGGCATGCAGTGTGGTACAGGACAAAATTATAAATTATGGCGCACCGTGCAAACCAGAGTCACATTACAGGTTTTAAAGAAAAAAAGCCATACTTTTTCTCTACCCCACCCAGTTCCTTAGTCTGCCAAACATGTAGGTCATGGATGCAGACCAGACACTGGAATGTGTGCTCCCAGGAGGAGGCCAGTCACCTCCAGCTGGCCTTGCCTGGGCTGCAGACTGGCTGGGGCATCACTGTCGTCTGGTGCCCTTGCTTGGCCTTGCAGGACCGCTTCTCACTCTCACTCTCTCTCTGTGCTCCAGTCTCTTGGGGCATAGCACAGAGCTGAATGGTGAGCTGGGCCTCCCCAGCCTCCAGGGCCCGTTGTCTCTGGGTCATTTCCCCCCGTAATCTTGGGCACATAGAACTCAGATGCCCTCCTCAGATGTCCAAGTCACCACATGCAGACTTGCAGGACCTCTATGTGCTCTTCTCCCGGACACACTACCAGGCCCGGTCTTCCTCTCCAGCCCTTGCCAACCTCCAGGTCAACCAACATCCTAACACTGATACCCCCACCTCCCAGTCCCATCGATCCTACTGATGCAGCACCATGGCATGGAGACACCTCAGATGTCCTTGTCACAGGCACAGGGAACCGGCCCACCTCACCTGCTCATGTGGAGAATACCTCGCTGGGTTCTCAGGTTCTACCTTCTGCTTTTACCCTAGAAACCTGTCTCACCACAAGCATTCGCCAGTCCCTGTGCAGCCAGCCCCACTGCCAGTCTTCATGCCCTTCTGTCACCTGCTGTCTTCGTTTCCTGCTCATCTGTAACCCTGCTTTTACTTTTCAAGTGATTGTGTTTGTAGTTTTTGATTCCTTGGCATGAGCTACTGGGATTTGCTAAAGGAAATTATATCACCATACTGCTGACACATATGTTATACAGACATTATCTGAATTTAGCCAGGCAATAGTATGTTGTTTCCTAAGATTCCTAGAAATTCCCCACCGCAGCTACTTTTAAGTATTGCACTGACCTTTCTCCCTGGAGTGAATTTGTCTTCTAGTCCTCTAGGCATTGTAAGGTTACAGTGATGTAACTTTCCTGTTTTCCTCTCCTCTTCATTTCACATCTCACTTCTTCCCAGACTGGAACAGGCCTCATTCTGAAGAGGGTCTGAAGGCAAGAGAAACAAGCCCCATTGTGCTGGGACCATCATTCCCTTACAAGGCTCCACTTCTAGAAAGTGTATTCCACTCAGCACATTGGGTTTCCACCTTCCTCCCATCCTCTTTGATCTCTCCTGCTCTTCCTTTGGCCCTTGGGTCCAAGGCAGGGGTCCAAGATGTCTTGCACTCCCCCTAGAAGCCGGACGTCCGGTTACACCCTGCTACTTCTTCCCAGATATTCCTTTCACAGCCCACTCCAGACTTGTCCTTGGGTTTGAATTCTGTCCTCTGCCTTATCTAGCGACTGACATTCGCTTTGCAAAGGACACCATGCCTTCCTCAAGAAGCCTTCTGAGTTGCATTGTGTCCAAAAGATCCTACGATATCATGGGTGAACTAACTCACTTGAGTTCAGACCCTCCATCTTCTAGTACCTCATCCCAGTTGGGAATGAAATGACATTGGGAAAGTTATTAAATCTCTTTGACTTTCAGTTTCTTCATGTATGAGATGGAAATAGTAATTGTGCCTGCCTCCCAGGACTGTTATGAGAATTATGAATTAACGCCTATAGCCAGGCACATAACGAAGACTCAGGAATATTTGTATTTTAATGTCATTATCACCTTCCTCTGATTCCTATTATAGCTTTAAAATAAGATAAAATGTAATAGAGAAACTCGCATTGTATTTTCTGGCCTTTTAGAGTATAAACTTGTTTAGGGTAGGTGCACAGTACTTCTGGGTGTTTTGTTTTGTTTTATTTGCTATACAGACACCAAAATTCCTATCTGAAAGAACTGAACTCTCTCCAAATGCATCAGATGTCCCTAACTCTATCAGATTTAATAGGAATCAGAGGAAGGTGATAATGACATTAAATCAGATTGCTATTAGAATTCCAGTAATCTCAATTTCCAATCAGGCACTTGAAGCAAAAAAAAAAAAAAAAAAATGGTAACATATGTAGAGTTGGGTTTTAGAGTTTTAAAATTATAATTCCTGATTTTAAAAGGATCCTTGAGTTTTAGTGAAGAATTCCTTTTTTTCCCAGAAGTACCGAGATCATGACGGTGAGAGAGGAGGCATCCAGGCATGTATTATGAGACTGAAATACCAGGAAAAACGTGCCTTGGCCGCTTCCCAGGGCTGCCTCACCCACTTTCTGCTTTCTAGTCCCATCTCCACCGTGGTCAGTGTATGGTCCTCTTCCGTGGTTCTCCCAGCCTTATACCTACAGTACATGCTGAACTTCCCGGTAGAATCTGGCCTGCCCTGCTATTGCTCTTCCTCTAGGCTTGTCATTTCTACCTGTTTCTGGTCATACCCATCCCTGCCTGACATCCTGCAGCCCTTAGAAGCTAGGCTAGGCATAGGACCCTCACCAGCACCTTTCTTGGGCTGGTGCCACCTCCTGCAGCATCCAAGGTTTTTCTTTTACTCACCCAACCATTTAACAAACAATTCATTTAACAAAGGGCGGCAGCAGGAAAAAATTCCTAATGAAATTTTCTGAGAAAATAAGTTTCTATTCATCAGGCCCTTGGTGGGAAGAATATAGGAGTATTTGGGGAAAAGAGCAGCCTGGGGCAAAAGTAGGGGATCAAATGAAGTGGTACGTTTAGGGAACTCAAGCTATTCCATAGCACTACAAGGGAACATGCAGCATCAAGGTGAGAGATCATGGGCAGAAACTATGTTTGAAATCTGACAGTGACTCAGATGTGCACCCCAGTTCTGGATGCCTATGTAGAATTGAATGCTAAAGGACAGGGACTGTGGTGTGTTTCTAAATTTTTATCAAACAGATTTGGGAGTGGGGGGTGATAGGGGAAAGGTAGCTCGCTTCTGCTGTGGTTTGCTGGTCCCCATAGTGTGAATGCTGCCACCACCTTTGGTTCTGGTCTAGCCCTGGGACGTCATTGAATGTAGAGTTAGGGACAAACGCTAGTAGCCCTGTTGCTGGTGAGTTCATCTAACTAGTTCCCTAGTTTCTGCTTGAGAAATTGGAAGAAGATGATGCCTCTTACCTAGGACAGACAGCAAAAGGAGAACCTTTGAGATGGGAGGGGCTGACAATATGTTTAGATTATTATATGTACGTATGCATGTATGTATGTAGTACTTTGGGTCAAACCCAGGGCTTCAGGCATGCTAGGCAGTTACTTCACTACTAAGCTATACCCGAGCCCATATTATAACAATATTTTAAAATTAAGGTACCCAGGAGAGGTTTTTAATATGCAGTGGCCAATTAGGTCTATATCTCTGGAGAGCAGTGCAGGATAGACAGACTAAATAGGGAGGCATTGAC